TGCACAGGAACGGAGTTCCGGCTGGCTTCAGAGTTGGTCACACCCACTGCAGCCAAAACCTCTACGTGCGTGGCTACAGAGGGAAGGCCTGGAGAGTGACACCCCCCCCGGCAAATCTGAGGTGGATGGGCCAGGGGGGTCCTGGAAGGATCGGGGAGGCATTTAAATACCTCCCCGTGCCTTCCCCAGCCTGTCCAAGGGCCAGCTTGCCTGGGCAAGCCAAGGGAAGGCATGGGGGTGTGGCCTAATGTGCTAATGAGCTGTGCTGTCAGGGGTGTGGCCTAATATACTAATGAGTTCCTGCTGGGCTTTTTCTACAAAAAAAGCCCCGTGTGTGCCTCAGTTTTGGCCCAAAGGGTGAAACAGTGCCACAAAGCTGTTACGGTACTACGATGCCCCTTTTCTATTCACACAGAGTGCCTACCACCCTCTGCATCTCTCTCTTAGGTCCAGGACGTTGCTACCCTTCTCGTCTCTTTTAAATTCTCTAGGGAGCCACGACCATTTCACACCTCCGGTCCTCTCTCTCACTCACACAGACATCAGCAGACAGGATACCCCAGCCCCCTTTACTAACAGGCCCTCAAGCTTCACACTTCACTGAGTGATTGGGGTTGGGGGCTCAGATGCTGTTCCATTCACATGTTGCTACCATTTATTCGTATCTTATTTTACACATGCGCGCGCACACATATAAACTCGTATGGGTGTTTCTTTCCCTGAGACACACAGCCCACTGATTTAAATAAACAAGGAGTAACTTTTATTTGTGGTTTGAACATAACATTGAAGAAAATAAGGTAGATGTTACTATTCATTTCCAATTGAACTTTTGAACTGTTTCCCTATTCCCACAATTGGGATCCTTCATCACAATACAAAATTGACTCTTTTCAGCTAGCTCTAAGCAGCTGTTCTCCACAGTTTCACTCAACCAGAGACACTCTTTTTGCTCTCAACTCCCTAGCTGCCAATTCCCAAATACTCTCTCAACTGCTCTTTTCCAGCTTTCTCTCTCTAATATTCCATCAGCTCTCACTGGCTGCACTTAGGGAAACTAATTAATTATCCTCTGGCAGGAGATCCCGGAAGGGATTGTTGGCTGCTAAAGCTGTAGCTTTTTTTGGCACCACTAGGTGGTGAGCTATGCTTATTTTTAGGATGAGAATGCTATGACTTAGGGAGAGGCAGAAACTAATCTGTCTGTCTCAAGTATCTACACAGTCATGCCAAAAACACATATGCTCATTTACTTCACTTATATCCTACTTTTCTCCACAGTGGGGACCCAAATTAATTTTCATTTTTCCCGCCCCTCCATGTTATCCCCACGACAGCCCTATGAGCTGGTTAGGCTGAAAGTGTGTGACTAGCCCAAGGTCACCCAGCAAGCTCCCATGGCAGAGTGGGGATTTGAACCTGGGCCTCCCAGATCGTAGTCCAACAATTAGACCATGCTTGCTTGGGATGGTTTGTGTCTGGTTCACCAGGCTGAAGAGCAGGAGGGAATACAGTGCCGAAGAGGCAGGCAGGAGCGTAGGCCTGTCTCTCTGCCACAGCCACCTGTGCCTCAGATTCCCACTTCCTGAGCCTCTTGAGGCACATGAGCCACAGACCCATGAGGTATCCCAAAATCCAACTAAAAACACAAGGAAGGGGAAACATTCCAATGGATCAATACTTGCATTTGCACTTGTCGTACCTGTAGTACGATCTTATTGGTCACACACTCTTGCCTGTTCTGTCCCGCCAGAGTCACACTTCCACTGAATTGATCGGAGAGGCGTTCCACAAATTGCACTCTGGACGGCAAACCTAATCGCCGCCTTTCATTTTCCACGTCAAACGTATAGTTCAGAGCTGGGAGGGTTGCAGGGGTTGGGATGGAGGAACAAAGCAAAACCACCAGAAATAGTAAGGTAAGACATTGTGAGGGCTGTATTCTGAACTATGCAACCTGCAGAAAAAGTCACATGCTAACCAACAGGTAAAATCTATAGATATCTAATTCCAGATAATTGTTACTGGACGTGATGCCATACCAACAGATGTTGTGCATTAATCCACTCGGTTCCGTACTGTGCTTGGTGCATAAGGCCCTGCTACAGTAAAATGCAAGTTGGTAGGTGTGACAGGCCAGGAGCAAGGGCCCATGGATGGGGTGGAGGAGATGGGCTGGGAGATTCCCCAGAGAGACCTGGAGGCAGAGACGTGGGTCACTGCCCCCCAAAAGCGTATGTCCAGGAACTCCAAGGCTGGCTGATCCCTGCTGCTACAATGCAGGGAGAGGGAATGCCTTTGGGGTTGAGAGCCCAAGGGAATGGGTACATGGGATAATTTTGGGGACAAGCGCTCAAGCAGGTAGTGCAGAGGAGCTGGGGGGCATCAAGGGAGTGAAGGCAACTCCATCGGGGGTGCACACCCCAGGGTAGGCAGGAATAAAGGAAACTCTGTCAGGGCTAGTGAAGGTAAGCAGATGGGAGGGAGGTGAACTCTCTGCCTGCACCCCGGGAAATGGGAGGGAGGTGAACTCTCTGCCTGCAGTATACCAATGCTGTATAAATGGATTTGTTAATAAAAGTCTGGGGATGGCTAGAAGGACAACGCCTCTTTATTTTGATGGAACCCTACTGCAAGTGTCCGTCTGCTGCAAGTGTCTGTCCTACCCACATCATGTCTCCCCACCCCGACACAGCAGCCCGTCACAGAAGGACAGCGTACAGCAACCCTGAGCATGTTTAAAGACATAATATTAAGTTATTGCAGGGACACAGTGACAGACAGCACCAAAGGCTCCAAGTGCCAGCAGTGGTGAATGTTAGTTTTCCAAGAATAACCTTCTCAGTGATGGCACTCACATAACAGAACTCTCTCCCTTGAGATGTTCAGGAGGCCATTTTGCTTCTGGATTTTAAAAAATAATTAGTTAACATATTTGAATTCTGGTAGGCATTTTTTGGGGGACAGCAGCTGGTCCAGAATGCAGTGGCGTGGGTACCCCCGTGTCAGCATACATTCAACCAGTGCTTTGCCAGCTGCACTGGCTCCCAGTTGAACACTGGATCTGCTTTAAGCTTCTGGTTTTAACCTTTAAGGCCCTAAAGGGACTGGGGCCAATGTTCTTGCGGGACCACCTCTCCCAGTATGTCCCCCGAGGAGCCTTGTGCTCACAAGATCAAAACTTATTGGTGATCCCCGACCCAAAAGATGTCCGGCTGTCCTTTACCAGAGCCAAGAAGGCCTGATGGAACTCTCTGCCCAGAGACATCCACACTCTGCAGGACCTAGTCCAGTTCCGCAGGGCATGCAAGACAGAGATGCTCCACTGGGCTTATGGTTGAGGACAGCTAAGTTTTTTCCATCTCATCCGGCCAATGACCCTGCCCCATGGAGGAAGAAATTATATACTGCACTGCCATCAGAGACAGCATTGTAGATGGTTTACTGAACTACTGGCTGTTGATGTTTTTAACTAAATATTGTATGTTTTAATATGCTGTACATTGCCCTGAGACCTTCAGGGGGAGGGCAGTCTAGAAAGTAAATTAATAAACATAATAAATAAATAAATGTCATTCCTTTCTAGCTTAACTGTTATTAGAAATAGCTTGTATAGGATTGTCATTTATGTTGTTTAAGCCCACTGTATTACTGTTAGCTTCACTGAGGCTTCTTTGTTTAAGAAAGCATGCACTGAGATATAATAAATACATACATATTTGAACTGCCTTATCCATCTACAATATCAGTGTAACATCACAGCAGGTGGAACTGCACAGACACAGTGGTCTCACACATATGCATGCTCACTGACACACCTTCTTAAACATCTGTTGTTCTATATATTGATGTAATTATTAAGGTACTCTGGTGACCCCCTGTGGGGCATTCAAGGCAAGAGAAAAGCAGAGGAGATCTGCTATTGTCTTCTTACACCTAGCAACCCCAGTCTTCCTTGGTGGTCTCACATTTAAATACTATCTCTGGCCAGCCCTGCTTAGCTTTCAAGTTCTGATGAGCTTCAGCTAAGCTGAACTATTCAGGCTGCTTGTCTTCTTCAGGAAATTAAGTGATGAATAGCACAGTATCTGTGAAACTGTAAATTAACAATAATCCGCCCTCAGAACATGACGTCTTCATGTGGACACCCACTATGAACATGTGAGGTAAGGCGGTCCCTCAGGTACATCTGTCGTTCTATATATTGATGTAATTAATAAGGTACTCTGGTGACCCCCAGCTGTGGGGCATTCAAGACAAGAGAAAAGCAGAGGAGATCTGCTATTGTCTTCTTACACCTAGCAACCCCAGTCTTCCTTGGTGGTCTCACATTTAAATACTATCTCTGGCCAGCCCTGCTTAGCTTTCAAGTTCTGATGAGCTTCGGCTAAGCTGGACTATTCAGGCTGCTTGTCTTCTTCAGGTAATTATGTGATGATTAGCACAGTATCTGTGAAACTGTACATTAACAATAATCCACCCTCAAAACATGACGTCTTCATGTGGACACCCACTATGAGACTCCACATGATACTTATGGAATAAATGTGTCCACACACAAACATGTACCAGAATAGGATCAGAACACAGATTATTGGAATTCACCCACAGAACTCAGTGATATGCAAGTATGATAATATAACTTACTTATTGGGGGGCTGAAGTCACTCGGATTCGCGGTATATTCAAAACATGCTTTAACATTCATGCTGCAGGAATTCAAGAGCACAGAATTTACTTTAAAAAGTTCAGTAGGGTAAATATTTTGTTAAAAATCCTTGCACTTTCATGAGTAAATCAGAAATCATGGTCTATTTCGGGGCCCATTCTTGACAGCCAAAATACTTGCTATAAGCCCTGTACTTGGGCTACTACAACAGTGTGGGAAACTTGGCAGCCTCACTCATTCTCACATTGCCAGATTAACATGAAGATTTTAGAATTACCCAACAGGAATCTCCACATTGGTTTCTACATCAGGTCAATTTTGTCTGGAGATATCTCGATAGTTTTCTTAATGCTTACCACCGGCCTCGATCTGGTATATTTGAGGGGAAGAAATTATTACAGTTATCCAGTGTTCCTTCTAAGCTGAGTTAGGGTGAGCTAGCTCAGTTTTTCAGCCTCTGTCTCACACATTTTTTTGACTTACCTCAGGAAGGATGGCTCCAGAGCAAACTAATTTATGCAGTAGCCAAATCGCTCGCTCACAGCTTTAATGCCAGTAGCTCACAAAGTAGAATTTTTGCTCACAAGACTCCACAGCTTAGAGGGAGCATTGATTGGCACCATAAAAAGAGGAAACCAGCTACTCTGATCAATTGTAAAAGCATCACTAGGCCTTCCTCACAGGGCTATGGAGGGGCAGAGACAGCATGCTTTCTTATTGATTAGCATTGCTAATCAAGGCATTCCAAGTTTCTCTTTTTCACTGGTGACAAATAAAATAGTAGATCATTTTAATTTAAAAAAAAAAACTTAGCACAATAGACAAAAGCCAAATGACTGCATGGAGAATGGAACTGTGACTTCCCATTCCCTCTTCTCCTATTTATTATGCACAGAAGACAGGAAAAATCTTAATAATGATTCCCTACAGCAGTGGATTTGAGCTCTCACGGATAAGGTGGCAAATCTGCATGTGGACTACACCACTGCAAACTGCAGGTGGTAACTCACGTATAAAAAGATCTCTGCATACAAAAAAGTAAATGTAAGGAGGGAAAGATTTTAACCTTTTCTTCCTCATGAAAGATTAGCTTACAGCGTGTGGGAACTCCCCCCTCCCCCCAAAAACACCATGATCCTCCTTTGTAGTATGAAGTGGTAGATTCCAAGACATGAGCTTGTCACCTGTTCTGCTGACTGCCAGAATTATAGCCTAGAAGAAGGTTCAGAAAAGCAGAGTCAGCCTCTGACTCACACATTTTCGTGTGACAATATGCAATTGTGTGACTCACACATCTTTGCCAACACTTTGTGTTACGGCACACTCGAAACATCAGGTAACCACACTGGAAAGGAGAATGTCACTGCCATCTTCTGTTATACACATCCTCCCTCCCTCCCTCAGTGCTGCCAGTAACTTGCTATTGACTTCCGAGGCCAACATCTGCACACCACTGTGTGTGCAAATGTGACAGTAAGTGAGAAATAGACAGTCCCTCCATGAATGATCTAGAGATTGGGTCTTAACTGCCTCTCAGCCCCTTTTTACTCAAGCAACCCAATGAATAATAGGGAAGAGAGCAGGGAACACACCTGTAAACAGACACAGAATCTGAAAGTGATCCAACAGCAATATCAGGATAGGAGTTTCTGTCAAGATCCATGTTTCCAGTAATAGAATAACCAAAGAACGAGATGTCATTGGCTTTGCCATCGAGAATCTGAAACAAAACCAGGAGTATACAAGCTATTATGACGAACTGCATTAGATGATGATTATTATTATTATTACGACTACTACTATTACTATTATTAATTCAATTCATTAATCACCCTATCCCAGCTTATGCTGAGCTCTGGGCAATGTACAAAGGAGCAGAATGCCATAAAAGTACACAAAACATTAAAATTCAATATACAATTTGCTAAAAACTAAGAAGCCAGAATAAAAGATCCAAGATGGCATCCTGTAAATTGTCTAACCCTATTCTGGACTACCTGGCCATTTCCTGGGCAAGGGGAGAGGGAACTCAGGACAGAAATGCAGGGGAGGGTGCCAGCCTGGGAAAACCCGTTGCTGCCCTCAACCAAAAGCATAGCAGAACATCTCTTTCTTACCGGCCCTGCGGAATTGCATAAGATCCCTCCGGGCCCTGGTGTCATTTGGAAGAGAGTTCCACCAGGTTGGGGCCAGCACTGAGTAGGCCCAGGGATCACCAGCATATTGTTATCAGAAGAGCACAAAGCTCTCCCAGGGACATACTGGAGGAGAGAGTCCCACAGATATGTTGGTCCCAGACCGCTCGATACCAAAACCTTGAACCTGACTAATTAAACTACTGATTAAATTACTTCATCCCTGAAAAGAAGATTCTGTAAATAAGATGCACTAGGCAGAGGTGGGGGGAGGAATCAAACAAGATGGGTGCACAGAAAGGAATAAGGAAACTAAGAGCAATGGAAGCAGGAAAAGAGAGTTGTAAATTCAGTAGGAAACCGTGAGCAGTCAAATCCTACAGAGCCGTAGGGCTCTGGAAAGTAGACAAGCATTCCTCACCAAGAGCTAGTCAGGCGTCTCTCTCATCAGCATCAATTTCTGAAATATCTGAAGAAGTGAGCAGTGACTCACGAAAGCTCATACCCTGCCACAAATTTTGTTAGTTTTTAAGGTGCTGCTGGACTCTGGCTCTTTCCTACTGAAATTGTAAGCTGTTATGATTGATTTGCACACTTTCAAGAGTTTATGGATGAAGAGATACCGGTAACTGTTTCAGATTTTCTGTCTGCATAAACCTTATAAAATAAGAATAGTAGAATCAGTGGTAATTTAAAAGGTTGAGGGAGGATGAGAACATTATATTTTTAGAGGTCATTTTCATATATACATATCCAAGTAATTTGGGAATCCTAGGAGAAAAAGTAAAAATATCATGAGGGAAATGCACAGGACTGAGTCTTCCAACAAGTTAGGCTGCTTATACCTTCTATGAAGGGTAGTTTTAATCAAGTGAAATGTAAGGATGGCAGCCTTTGTACTGAATGAATACAGAACTGAACTTCACTCACTGGCCACTGGAACATCTAATTCCATTTCTTGATACTTTATTGCTGCTGTTTTCTCTAAGCCTGAGCTGTGGTCCCAGACTCCCAGTGAAAACCATAGAAAGTGTGGAAGAGTGCAGGGGAAGAAAGAAGCATATGAGAAAGGCAGCTGAATTAGACCTCCAGGAAGAAAGGAAGGAAGCAAGCATTGATGGAAGTCTGTCCCCCCCTCACCAAAAATGCTAGCAGATTTATGGGGTCATGAAGAGGGTGCAAGGTTGGAAGGAATAGAAACAAACACACAAAGGCAAAGAGAAGGTCAGCTGTTTAGGACATTGGGTATATGTGTAAGGGAGTTCAGAGAAACAGACGCTCTCTTTTATTACCTGTGCTGGTTTTATATTTATTCCGTTGTTGGACCCATGATATATATACACCTTGCCAAAACCGTCATACGGAGCTCCCACAGCTATATCTGTTTTTTTCAAATAAAAAACACAGGCATTCAAAAACGGAACTAATGATTTTAAAGCAATGCTTGTTTATCATTCAGTTGTCCAAATAAGACACTCTAAATTGTGTTTATAGAAACTGGTCATGGTAGGAAGCATAAAATAACAAATTTGAGACTGTTGTGGTTTTAAATCAACGCAACAGGAACAAGGTATACTAGAGTGCTACCATTTTTGACATAAATTTTGTAAGGCTATATTTTCAGAATAAATGAACTGTATCATTATTTTAAAAAAAGGAATTTGTACCACCACCAAAACAGTTTTTGTTGGATTCAACAACTGTGAATGTGAAACACACCCATACACAAAAACTCCCTGTATTTTCTCTTCAGTGCTAGTGAACAGAGCATAAGCTGATTTCCGGACTCCTTACCTGAATAGCCATCTTGATTAACATCACCAATACTTTCAACTGCAATTCCAAACATGGAGTCTGTGGTTCCATTGAGCCGAATCGGCTTTACCCCTTCCCATTTGCCTTGTTGGTTAATATAAACGTACACAGCACCACCAATTTCTCCATCCCTGTCAAAATATTGAGGGGCACCAACAACTATATCCTGCCAACTAAGAAGGGGAAAGAAACCAACAAAAGTATATTAGCGATCACTGAATAACTCAATACAATATATAGGGTTGCCATCCCCCTGATGGGGGAGGGGGGTTACCCACTTTTGGGGGGCCCAATCCACCACTGACCAGGTGGCCGGTGGGGGAAGTCTCAGCCACAAAGAGCCCTGTTGTACCCAATGTGCCCAGCGCAATGACATCACCCAAAGGTGATGTCATCACGCTAGGCACATCAGGCGAGGGATGCTCTAGCATTTGGGTAAAAACTCTACGATGACCATAGAGTTTTTTACCCAAATGCTAGTGTCTCCTGAACAAATTGCCTGACGCAGTGACTTCACTTCCAGGTGATGTCATCATGGCGCACACGCTTTGCATGCATGTCAGAAGACCCCGGGCGCCCTGCTGGGATAAAGGTATGACCAGGCAACCGTAACAGTATACAACACAGTGAGAAGCAGCAACTCAGAAAGGTTCCTTTTAAGCTATTTTAGTAGATTCAAGGAGAAAATGACCAGAACATTTTACTTACTAAGTTCTATGGTATTTTACAAAGTATATTTATTGGCATTCTGTTTACTTTTTTGTGGTCTTTGTGCATTTTGTGCCTGCAAAGCCCATCAGTGTGAATGAATAGGTGAGAAGACCCCCACATTATGGCATTCCACAAACTATTCAAAACTGAATTATCCAGAAGGGCATTCTTACACAGGTAATAGAACACAAACTATTCAAAACTGAATTATTCAGAAGGGCATTCTTACACAGGACTATACTATAATGGAACAGTTCAGAAATAAGCACTATAAAAGGGAAGGGGACTGTGGACTATATCACTGAGTATTGTACATGCTATCTGTTACTGTACATATCCTACCATGTAATTTTTGCATCTCACATGTCATAATACTTATGCTTTGTTTCAGATTTGCCTCAAATTTTTGCTTAGTTTCAGATTTCTAATCCTATTACGTGGTTTATTGGATGTTCCTTTGACTTACACTGTGTAATCCACCTTGAGTCTCAGTGAGAAAGGCAGACTATAAATTATACACACACACCAGATATATAGGCTGTTTTTACAATAGTATTCCAATTTTGCAGACATGGAATCAGGCATATAAATGTAACCTGTCCAAAGCCCAGTGTGAGAAAAGATTCTTGAATCCAAAGTTTAGTCCAGCTAGACTACACTGGCTCTCATTAGGAGAAAGATAAGGGTGGTTTAGGGAGAAGGTCTACTCAAAAGTAAGCCCTATTTTATTCAGTGGGGCTTACTTCTAGAAAAATGTTCTCAGAATTGCCGCCATAGGATCTTTGAGATATATCAGAAACATTCTCTCTGACGGTTAATGTACCATTAATATACTCTTTGTAGTAAAAAGAACTAACTCAGATTATGTAAAACGGAAAGGGGAAAGTACAAAAAAAAAATTACAGCACTTCTTGGAACGCAGCTTCAAGGTTCATTAATATTTTTTCTTTTGTTTATTTAAATCTTTCCCAATTAACAAGGAACAGCTCATTTTTCCACTTTACAAAAGAAGAGACATGTGAACATACATGAAACTGCCTTATACTGAAGCAGACCATTGGTACATCAAGGTCAGTATTGTCTACTCAGATTGGCAGCGGCTCTCCAGGGTCTCAACTGGAGGTCTTTCACGTCACCTACTGCCTGATCCTTTGAACTGGAGATGCCGGGGATTGAACCTGGGACCTTCTGCATGCCACGCAGAGACTCTTCCACTGAGCCAGAACCCCTCCCCTGAGCTACAATACAAAGGAGGGAACACACAAATAAGAGTCAGAGGAAAACCTTACTCATCATTGTTGAGGTCTACAACTGCCACATCATAGCCAAATGAAGAAGCCAGCCCCTCGCCTTCAAACATGTGCTCAAGGGTCAGCGCACTTGGAGTGTTTGGGTCTTTTTTCAACAGGACAACAGCTCCACTGTGGTTTGCTCGTGGGGCTCCGGAAACAAACGTCATATCATTTTTAGAAACGATACCTTTTCCTGAGTCCAAGGAAAACCCTACAACAAAAATGGTTCAGTTGAAGTGAACTTTACACTGTTGCTTGTCATGTGTCAGTAACTATACTATATTAAAGTGGTGGCTGAAAGGATTGGATATATACATGTATATTTGCATAATTTTATATAATACAGGCTTTGCCATTTTTATTTAGCTGCACACACTTCCAAAAGTCTGTGCCAGACCACTTTAATATAGGGATTCCCATGATATTATATGAATGTAATTCCTCATGGAGAATGGCCCATGCTCTTCACATTCTCTAAATGGCATTCATCCTCAAGCATATCAAGTGGGATTTTACTACTGAAAAGCAAAATCTACCAAGCATTGACACTGTACCTCCACATTCATTTTGATGGGATAACAAACACAGCATTACATGAACTGAGCCCTTAGATATTAAGCAGCAGTGAATTCATCAGCATTATTCTCAAACGGCCCATGAAGGAAATGTAGAAGCAATCGTCTACAATGTCAATTTTTTTGTTAAAAAATCTCAACTCTCGGGGGTAGAACTACATGTTATGGTAGTGTGTGATGATCCTGGCCACCTTAGCAGGGCTACTGTGATTATACAGTGCTTGGGTCCCTTTGGGGAGTTTGCACAACAATCCATCCTAGCCAACATAAATATATACTGCCTTTCCTTGGTTTAATCCTATCCTTCTTGAACTCTCAATTCAATGATTAATAAGGACTGATGCTTAGCAGAGGTGTCCTTCATGACTGCCTTAGTTTTAACTATTCCAGGTCCTGGAGGTACAGAGATAATGAGAAATTTCAGACAGATGATATAATCCGGAAGAGGAACAGTCCCCAAACGGTTTCTGGTCTGTCATTTCAGACAGAACCGTTTTAGAACCGGTTCCCTACCAGAATATATTTGTAATTTCACATACAAACGCTTCTGTCCCGTTTAGGAAACGGGGCTGAAGCGTTTTACCTGTCAACCGCTTACAAGTAGTCTTCAGTTTCCTCTCCCGGTTCCGGTGCGCTTTTTCCCGCCGTTTTTCGCCCGCGCGGGCGATCTCCGGCTTTTAAAAAAAATGTTTGCTTTATAGCGCTATAACGCTATAACGGAACAGCAATATATCAATGCCATTGGAATGCCTGAAGTGTTTTGTTATAGTGCTATAGCGCTATAAGGCGAACGTTAAAAAAAAAAGCCAGAGATCACCCGCGCGGGCGAAAAACAGTGGGGGAAAAGCGGTGCAGTCTGAAATGGCAAACTGCTTTACCGGAAGGGGAAAGCCATGTGTGAAATGGCAGCCCTATACCGGTTTACTCCATGATGGATCAAAAACAGCTTCAAAATGGGTTAAAAAGAGTAATGTGAAATTCCTCACTGTCTTTACAATTATACAATAATACTCTAGTTATGGAGGACATCTTGATACAGGAATACAAGTTTCAAAGCAGCCCAGAGTTGTCCATAACATGTAGCTCCACTCAGTTTAAGTTGTGTTAAACACAGTTCTATAATATATAGAAGTATCAAGGTGAACTTGAGCTCCATATCCGATTTTTATTAACATTCTGAAGCAATTGTCAGGAGAAACTGGAAAGGAAACATGATGCCCCAGCCAGTATTACCCTTAGATTCCTTCACTGCTGCCATTTTGACTGTCAGAGAAAGAAATTCATTGTGAGACGAGGTTCAGGTCAGATTCCGGTACTGATGGACTACAACTCTTTGGTGCTACTGTATTTTCTCTCCCCTATTGTGATGTATTTGTAGAGGGAACTAATGACTGGAGGACCACCAGTCAGATGACAAGGTTGTCAACCTCCAGGTGGTGGCTGGAGGTCTCATGGGATTACAACTGATCTCCAGGTGACAGAAATCAGTTCACCTCAAGAAAAGGCCAGTTTGGAAAGTAGACTCTATGACATTATGCCCCATTGAAGTCCCTGCCCTCCTCAGGCTCAAATTCTCCAGGTAATTCCCAGTCCAGAGATGGCAACCCTACAAGCGACCACTGGATCTTCCAATCTCTCCAAGGCCCCTAATCAGGGGAGTACCTAGAAAGTTCAAGTTCTAGTGCCTCTACATTTAAAAAAAAAGCCATCTTGTATCATAAAGACTCTCATCTCATTTGCATTTCTTCTATAGTATGCCTTAACTTGAAATGGAAATAACACATGGCACAAAAATGTCTGGAACTGAATTAATAAGGCAGCATGGACTATCATGTCAGAGGTCACAAACCTAGGTAGCTATTCGTCATCAAATCAGTGGGCTTGTCTACTCTGACACCGGGAGGCGGTGTTTTGTAGACAAACTGATCGGGGTTAGTATCAGACACACTCGTCATAAAAAGAAGACCTGTAAAATGTGAACGGAGACAGAAGATTCAGGAAAGGTAGACAGTCAAGTTAAGAAAAGAGCATCAGAAACAGAACCTGATGTGGTTACCTGTAATACAGCAGAAGCTTACCAACACAGAGTACAGACCAGAAAACAAGAGAAATCGAGACACTAGAAATACATTAACCAAGGAAAAGCAGCAAAAGGATGTCTACAGACGACAATCAGAAATGTAAACCTATGAACATTTGTTGTGATACAGCATTATTAGTAAACATCACAAAAAGGCCATTGTCACATTTATTTTTTATCTTATTCTTGGCAAACTGAAAATGTCTTTACATTACCTTCTCAAATATTAATAATAATTAACCATATTAACTCACACACACTGGTCTGCTTAAGTGCTGTGTAAACGCACTACAAAGAATTGCATGAAATCTATATTCTGAGCCACGCTCGCTCAGCAAGACATAGATTAGTAACCTGGAAAAGCAAGTTTGAACTGTATGAAAGACCTGGAGAATGTGGGCAGGGAAGACTATATTTGGAGGCATATGACTACAAAACCGCCAAACTGCACGGTGCCATTCACTTTCTTCATTGTTTGCGCTGCCAGGAACTTTGTTACCCTTCATCACAAACACTGCACAAATTGTCATTCCTGTCAATCCACATTCAAAAGCAGGGCACCCAAAAGCATGCCTTGCAATTGACAGGTTTCACACAAAATCATTCTGTGCACCTATTAAAGCATTGCAAAGAAGCCTCTGAAGTTACCCGGCAATTCTGGAACATTATTTTGATGCATTCACAGCAGATATACTATGAAAGCCAATCCCAGCCACCAGAGTCCTGCTCAGTGACAAATTCCACAGACTTTCCTGGGCTTTATGCTTGAAGTCAGGACTACTGATCCATATACAGTACTTACTGTGCAACACAATTATGATGACACCAGAAACGTTTACAAATCCTCATCATCTCTCTTAAACGTCTCGTTACACTATCAGCTCATTGAGGTACCTCTCCAGAGTACCATTTTACACCTTTGAACCATCCATAATTTAAGAGGAGGGCACTGAACAGCCAACTATTAGCTTACACACGTATAAGGAAGTCCTTTTTACTAGAGAGAAGATTTTATTGTATTTAGCCATAGGCTAAATTACTTTCCCAGCAGAAACTGACATTATTACCCTCTGTTTGAATAGCAATTTTTGTAGACCTCCAAAGAGCTTAATCCTACCTAAGTAACTGTTAGCTGGAACAGGGACTAGGTTCTCATCGCGGCTGTTCTCATCACCAACTTCATAAGGCCCATCGTCAAAGATACCCATGTCATAAAATGTCTGATTTTTTTGCTCTGCCCGAACCACTCCTAGAAGGATGAAATGGCAAAAACAAAACTGGAATGAATGAAAAGGGAAGGGAGTGGAGTGGAGAAAAAACAAAGGTAACAATGATATAGTTTTGTTTGGAAGGGATGAGGGAACCACAGTTTAACACCAGTTTGCTTTGGATGCTGTTGCACATCGCAGTTTGTCATGTGAACAAGCCTGGAAGAGCATGAACAAGCTCATATGCACGCTCTCTAGTTCTTCCTACATGCATGGTAATTTCATTAAAGACTAGGGATGGGCACAGACCAGGAAAGCCCGGTTCAGTTCAGGAAGCCCCGAATCGAACCCCAAACCGAACTCTAAGCAAAAACCCCACCCAAATTGAACTGGTTCAGGTGGTGTTGGGCCCCGCCCCAGCACGCCCGCATCATCCAGAAGTGATGCAAGCACGTTGACCCTCAGCTCACAAACTGCAAACCAGGCAAAATCCAGCTGAGACTTTGGCTTGGGTTCAGGTCTGTGCCCATCCCTATGAACAACTTTCCTTTTGCAGTAAATCATAGGCTTGGATCTACAAATTCCTTCCATTCCTTCATATTCTATTCTGTATTACAAGAAGAAGAGCACAAATTGCCTCACACAGGAGCTAAGTGAATTGTATTGTCTCCAAGCTTGGCAAGGGGCTGCAATCAAACATCAGGACAAGCTGTAATTAAAATGTGATGATCTACAAATTTCGCTTGTTGCCATGTAAGCATGCTTCTCTGATTCCCCTCCCCTCAGAATTTCATTCAAAACTTCCTAGAAAAAAGCACAGAAAAGGAGCCCTGCTGGGTCAGACCAACAAATCATCTAGGTCTTGCATCCTGTTTCTAAAAGTAGACAGTCAGATGTCCACAAGGCCGACTTGCAACAGTCCACATCTCCTTACTGCTTCCCAGTATTGTCAATCATGGTGACTAAACAACCATAGATCTGTCATCTACAAATGTGTCCAACTTCTCAGTTAAGCTGGTGGCAGTCACCACATCTTGTGCTTGAAGTAATGTAACCAGTCAATTTCTCAGTGTTTGAAGTAATGCTTCCTTTTGTCCATTCTGAGTCTACTGCCAACCAGGGGTGTTGAACTAATTTGTTATGAGGGCCAGATCTGACATAAATGTCACTTTGTTGGGCCGGGCAATGTGTGCCATTAAGTGTAATGCCACATATGGGAGAGATAAACTTTATAAAGGACACAGGCAAACCCAATTGATGATACTATTTTTACACAAAATACAAACATGCTTTAAACATTAACACTCCTAAGGGATTTCCTTAAAGTATCTCCCTGATGCCCACCCTCCCACTTCCACCGCCCATTACTCATTAGCACTTGGACATAATGCACAGCCTCTGTTATCTGGCAATAAAGGTAATGACCAGTTGCTTGCAGGCCAGATAAGAGCCCTGGTCTGGCCAGTTCTGGCCCATGGGCCATATTTTTGACACCCCTCTAATCAGTCTCTGATCATCATGACATCTGTATGAAGCCACTTGGCAAACTGGCATTTGTTTAGTCCTCCACAAGCCTGGGCTCTAAGAAAACAAAGACCAATTGGCCAAGGAAGTTCCACTGGACATCATGGTCTCTTGGAGACTGATCATTCCAGGAAGTCTTGAATAAAATTCTGCCAAGAGAAGAGGAGCAACGAATGAAAGAAGTGTGGATCCATGCACAGGAACAAGCAGCGCCTCTTGACAATCACACTTCAACTACAGATTCTCCCAGTTTCCAGTTGCAGCCATTGCTTAACCTTGGCTGAGGTCAACAGAATAGTGCTAATTTATATTTCTGCACCATTAGAGCTCCACCACATCCAACCCAGTTCTTTGTTTATACTCTTTGCTGTAAACCAGCATGAAACTACAGCTTGGCATCTTGGTTTGCTGGGAAGAGCAGAAACCATCATTTGTGGTTCATACGTAGTGGCAAACTATGGTTTGTTGGAAAACCTGAAGTATTTAATTAGATGACCATGCATGGAAGGGGATGGGGAGAATCATGCAAAGCCAGGTGTCACCCAGACTCATTCAGTAGAAGCAAATAATGGTTTTCTGTTATGTCTACATCATGAAATTGTAGACTTGGTTTGAAGTCATATTAAGCAGTAAATATATGATACCAAGAAAAGTTCTGAAAGATGCAATGAGAATAGGATTGCCATGCCCCCAATGGTGGTGGGGTTTTCCTCACTTTTTGGGGCCCCAATCTGCCACTGACCAGCAGGAGGCCCCACCCACCAAAGAGCCCCATTGCACCAGGCACATCATGTGGGGGGCGCTCTAACATTTGGCTAAAAACTCTATGGTGACAATAAAGTTTTTGGCCAAATGCTAGAGCGTCCTCTACACGACGTGCCTGGTGCAATGATATCACTTCTGGGTGATATCATTGTGGTGCACATGTGCCAGAACATCCAGAAACCCAGGCTGGAGCCCCCCAGCAGCAGCCAGGTAAGGCCTGGCAACCCTAAATAATAAGGTATACTACTCATTCACAACAAAACCGGAATACTGCATTCATGATAAAGCATACAATTGTTATACAGTCACATGATTAATTTCACTTGGGGCATGTGGCATCTGCAGACTTTGGAACATTTCAGCAGTATTAGAGAAGGCAGAAGGCTCAGCAGGATTAGAGAAGGCAGAAGGCCTGGGGGAAATTTGGCAGAAGGGTGGCAGGTAGAGACCGAAGCTACGTGGAAGAACACCAATATGATAATAATACTGCTGCCATGAGAACTAAAATCCCTACATAAATGGTTTGAAAAGATGATATGCAAGTGGTCCCCCTACAGGTTACACACCTAAATATTCCAGGCATGTATATACAGATTGCAGGCTTACTAAGAAATGTTCCATAGAAATTAAAGGGGTTTACTCTTAAGTACATAGGAATACAATTGTAAGGGCAGGTTTTTTGTCCACAGCCTTCAGATTTAGGAAGTTCTTTAAGCATTAAAAAGCTGAGATTCTTTGGAAAGCAAAGTCAAAAGTGCATGTCCCGAGACATGGGCTGTATACTTGGTGCTGGGTATGTTAACATCTCTTGCCTGGACTTCTCAGGAAGCACAACCTTTCCCTGCAAAGTTCAAAACGATAGTTTTCTTCTATCAGAAGCTTCAGAGAACTACCATTAAGTTCTATTGATGGACAGGCCAGTAAAACTGGATAGGCTGTCACTGCCCACTGCCTGTATCTGGCAACTGTCAATTGGATTACCTCTTAGGAATTTGTTCTTATACTACTGATGGTTTACGATTTCTACTGTAATTGTATTTTCAGCCAGTGCTATTTTAATGTTTAGATGTATTTTATGTTATATTATTGTTGAATTTTTTATTACACAGGAAAGGATGCAGGGCCACACAGGAAAGGTTGCGGTATAAAAACGCAATAAATCAATCAATAAAATTCTTTCGTAAAGCACTTGTTTTGCATTCTGTAAGCAATGTGGTCCTTTCAACAGACGCTCCAGGTATGGCGTTTCAGTTGGATTGTTTTCCACTAATACTGTCCTCTGTGACTAAGGGAGCTAAGCTGGAGACCCATCACTAGAGTGGGTTGATAGCCATGAGCTAGATGAATCATTTGAGTGAAACACTATCAGGTGGTTTGTTCAGAACATGGATGCTTAAAAAGCGTTTAGAGTAGTTGTAGGGGAAAAGGGTAAGATAAAGATGGACACTCTACTCTGTACATTTGTCCACGGTGAATATATTTCAAAGTTCTAGCCCTGGTTTTAATTCTCTGTGATGTGGTGTGTGTGGAGAGAAGGAGCTATTATTGCTCAGTTGTAGAAGATCTGCTTTGGGTGCAAAAGGTCCCAACGTGTCCACTTAAAAGGATCAGGCAGTAGGCGATGTGAAAGCCGTCCCTCTGAGGGCCAAACGAGACGTAATGGCATCCTCATGTCTGACACAGGGATTCTGCCACCATTTAGAACCAGAAATGGACAATTTAAAAATGTTGTGATGGACGCAGCTGTTTTGGCACTTGAAAAGGCACAGGAGGGGGGCAACAAGAACACCTTGTTCCACCATGCTGTGGACCTGATCAGGATCAGTCTCCCATGGCATTTTTTAAATTGCTCATTTAATGCTTTGAAATACTGGTGAAGTTAGACACAAGGATGCCATCATGGCTCGTTTGGCTCCAAGTCCTTGGAAAGCTGCTGCCAGGCAGAGTAAGTACTACTGACCTTGACAGGACAATGGTATGGCACAGTGTGATAGACAGGAGGCTGTCTTGCCCCTGTAAGGTAAAACAGCCAACCAGCTGCTTTGCACCAGAACCTACGGGAGTGCTGCTTCAGCATCCAATCATCTTTCAGAGGGCAGAGGGCATGTTGGAAGGAAACACAGCAGCAGTTAGTTTGCGTCTGTTAGACCAAGGAACACGCATTACTCTGGTATTTCTATCTCTGTGCTTGGTCCTATAATCTGCACCCATGCCCTGTCCCAGATTTCAAAGCAGTCTCTGCTTGGTGGTAGAGAAGTCCGTCATAGGCACCACTACTGAAGGAACTACATGCCCCCTCCCTTTCCGAATAGTCACAACGCAGCCGAATGTTTTCACGTAGTCCTTCTCTCTCCTGCACTGGATTGCAAAGCACACATGAAGGTTTCTTATACTGCGTGTGGCAGGCTCCTGTAGAGGAAGTCAGGGGATCTGATCAAATTTTACAGTACAGACAGGTATTTCTGCTGCAGCAGTCATCCTCGCAGTTCCGATAAAGCAGCCGCTCAGTCTGATTGATGTTCCATGCTGGAATTGTCAGGTTTTTGTGGCACAAAACCAGTGTGTGGTTTTCACTCGTCCACCTTGTGCCAAGGCTCAGAGATTTTGCACGGCTCATGAGTCAAGCACAGGTGCATGCAGCAAGGATTTATCGCACCGGTCAAAGGTCAGAGGAGGAAAGAATTTCACAGCCGTTCCCTTAACAGGGCAGCAAGAAAAACAAGAGTGTTCTCTGTTAATACAAGAAACTGCAGGGGGGACAGGAGAAACAGTTCACAGGCTTTCACCGTACACAAGCTGAGAGAAATCCATTTGCTCACTAATGTCACTGGAAATGCCTATCTAGTGACATTTGCCAGGGTTCCCTCCCTTGCTTACTGCCTACCTCAAGCAAATCTTCCCTGGAGGGCAATGTATTTTTGCACAACTAGAAAACAAGACAACAATAATCCTGGCTATCGTTGCATCTATGTTCTGTCTTTGTGTAATCTTCCTAGGCACTTAAATATTCAGGACAGATATTCAGGGGGTCTTCCTGATTTCTTACTTTATCTGTATTCGTGTGCTTACACATTGAAGACAATACATTCAGTCCCGCAGGTCCCCCCTCTCTGGGCACCTTGGGGAAAGCTTGCGTTGCAGCTGTCCATATCCAGAGCCAGAGGAACGGACGTTAGAGTGGTCACTGACCACCCAGAGCAAGAATGCACAACAAATTTGCACTAGCCTGCTTTCTTCTTGTGTCCTAACTTCCAGCTTCTGTGTTCAGGGATAGTGTACCTGGAATTATTATATGCTGGGAATGGCTTTCACCATTCTGCTCAGTTTTCAGGTTCCCCCAGAACATCAGGCTGCCTAGCATGAGGCTGGGGGGGGGGAGCTCGAAGGAACTCACAAGCAGTTCTGACATTCATGGAAACACAGAGCTGGAAGGGACCCCAGGGGTTATCTAGTCCCCTGCACAATACAGGAAATCCAAAAGCCTCTTCACAAGTTACAGGGAACGCACGTGCAATCCACGTACAGCATACACCGGATTTTTCCTTACGTGTATGTTGAGTAATTTTCATGTTACATTCAACACACATGCAGCTGAACCCCACATTTGTCCAGCTATTGCTCTCTAGTTTCACTTGTAAAGTGAACATGTCTTTTTCTCACAAACAGATGCAGGCATGTAGTTGCTAGTTGTACGTGCGTTCACTGTAACACTGTAACCCTGCAATGCAGGGATGGCCTCATTTTTTAAAAACTTCTGCAGTTGAAGAGAAAGAAGAGACTCCATACCATTAAAACGTTTGCCACGAACAAAAGGGCTCAATACAGAGATTCGGGTATTAGTTAAGCATGCTTCTTCTTGGAAGAGTGCAGAAAACCTGAAGCCAGTACCTTTCCAGTTATAGGTGCCAGGTGCCCCGAATACAACGTAACGGTGGTCCCTGGTAAAAGTGGCAGCCACCCCTTGCTGGCACGAACCAAACTTCTCGTGGCCTCTCAGCCGGCCATCACAAAAACTCCAGTCCCCGCCATCCATGCCGTCATCCTTGATGGTGAGATCCTGACTTAGGACGTAGCACCTCCCAATGATATCTCGAGTTTCCTGAATTGTGTTGACGTACTGCCTTTTCTCGTAGCGATGGGCGCAGGTCTGCAAGACATTAAACCAACATTTTTGCCTTTGCTCAGGAAGGATGGCTCCAGAGCAAACTAATTTATGCAGTAGCCACATCATTTGCTCATAACTTTAATGCCAGTAGCTCACAAAGTAGAATTTTTGCTCACAAGACTCCACAGCTTAGAGGGAGCATTGATTGGCACCATAAAAAGAGGAAACCATCTACTCTGATCAATTGTAAAAGCATCACTAGGCCTTCCTCACAGGGCTGTGGAGGGGCAGAGACAGCATGCTTTCTTATTGATTAGCATTGCTAATCAAGGCATTCCAAGTTTCTCTTTTTCACTGGTGACAAATAAAATAGTAGATCATTTTAATTAAAAAAAAACTTAGCACAATAGACAAAAGCCAAATTACTGCATGGAGAACGGAACTGTGACTTCCCATTCCCTCTTCTCCTATTTATTATGCACAGAAGACAGGCTCTGAGATAACTGCTTGTAAGAGAACAGCTCTGAAAGAACTTGTAACTGACCCAAGATGACACCAGCAGCTGCATGTGGGAGGAGGGGGGAATCAAACCCAGTTCTCCTAGATTAGACACCTAGATTAGAGTCCACACTCTTAACTACTACACCAAACTGGTGTAAATAATTCATCCATCTAGTAAATAAATTTCTAGTAAACCCACTGTAAATCATTTTCTAGTGCATCCACAGCCAGTCCATTTCTCTAGCTATACTTCCCATTCTGTAGCCAGTAAATACTTCTGGTGCTAAAATGGAATGAAGGCCAACACCTGAATGGCACAGAATATGGTTTATGTTTCAGTGAGATTCAGAATGGTATAGTGGTTAGAGTGTTAGACGAAAGCCCTGGTTCAAATCTTCCCTTGCCATTAAACTTGCTAGGTGACCTTGGATCCATCAGCCTCTCTCAGCCTGCCTCACAGTGTTGTTGGGAGGGTAAAATGGTGGTAAGAAAAACCATGTGTGCTCTTCCTGGGTTGGAGGGATGGTTGGATCAAAATGCTCTAAATAAAACAATACAGAAGTCTGGCCTACATCACAGAGCGTGTTTGCAATGGGATCGGGGGTCTGGCCCTCCTAACTTAGTGACAGAATGACAAAAGGTTGCAATAGAACTGGAATATTGTCCTCATATACATCAGAGGATGGAGCAGAAATTTAAGAACAACTCTCTTTCACAAAAACACAGAAATATATATATAAATACACCTAATGCTGTGAATTTAACAGGATTAAAGGTCCATTAATAAAAAGGTCCATTAATAAACTCTAATTAAAAGTTTACAAAAGTATTGTCTGGAAACCTTACCACCACTTTCCCGCCTGGCCCTTGACTTCGGACAGTTACGCCCATCCATTGGTCCTCCTTGCTTTCTTTTGTAGGATCAGCTGGGGGGGAAACAACATAAAGGTGGATTTGTGTGCTTTCCCCCCAACATAATGGTTTCTAGAACATTAGTCTAGTCAGACATAAACATTATTATTTTAACTCCAAATCCCTTGACTCATTTCATTTAGTATCAGAAGCCACCTCTAGATGGCACTGTTTGTCTACAGTATCAGTCTTAACCGCCAATGCGGGTTACTCTTTTTTAGGATATGAGCATTATTTTGAGAGAATAATGTACTTTCAAGAAAGTACATGATGACCTCCCTTTATAAAATCCATAATGATCAGGATATTGTTTTTAATGGGCCAACGAACTTCCTCTGGTACAAATTCTCATTGAAACCTACAGGAGGCCTGGAATCCCAGTTTGTGGGAAGAAACAAACTCCATATTGCCTAGGACAAATGCAAGGTTTCCTAAACCAGGAAAATTTCAGTTGCACTCCATACACTAGGAAGGAAAGTATAAACAAAGGTTTGGCCTGATGTCTGATTCCGAAGAGAGTGTCAGCTATGCTGCCATGATTGGGTGGGGGGGATCCATTCTCTTGATCTGTAGGCCAAATGCTGCTTCTTCACTTTTGCTTCTGTACTGCTTTCTTATCAATGACCTTGCAGGTTGCCAGTGTAGTGTCTGGGATGCATGGAACCGTGGGAGCGCTTTCAGTTCCCAGCTGCGGCCTCTAACGGCCTGGGACCCCTTCTCCCGCGTGCGGGAGCACGGCTAATTGGCCTATGGAAGGAGTGGGTGCATACGAATACCCGATATCCCATTATGCTTGTAGGAACGTTGTCATTCTTAACAGTGACTTTGTTACTGCCTCTATAGCGCTGCGATAAAGTATAACCTTTCTGATAAGCGTGTACTCAGTTGTTGGCTGTGGAACCTGACAGTTGCCAACCAGTGTTCCCTATCAGCTGAGTTAGTGTGAGCCAGCTCACAGTTTTTTTAGCCTCAGGCTCACACATTTTTGTCTTAGCTCAGGAAGGATGGCTCCAGAGCAAACTAATGTATGCAATGGCCAAATCGCTCGCTTACAACTTTAATGCCAGTAGCTCACCAAGTAGAATTTTTGGTCACAGGACTCCACAGCTTAGAGAGCATTGTTGCCAACCCCCGGGTAGGGCCTGGAGTTTTCCGGGATTTACAGCTGATCTCCAGACTTACAGAGATCAGTTGCCCTGGAGGAAATGGCAGCTTTAGAAGGTGGACTCCATGGCAAATCTTTCTGCTGAGCTCCTTCACCCTCCACACTTCCAGGCTCCACCCCCAAATCTCCAGGAATTTCCCAATGCAGACTTGGCAGCCCTACGTCTGAATGTGCCCATAGGGTCAGAAAGGCAATGGAAGCCTGGTTTTAATTTGAAAAGAACTGCCAAGAGGTCCTAAAACACGGATCGACTAGTAAATGAAAAAAAAAATACATTTTTGAACTTCACAAAAAGTCCACATGAGGCCAATGATTTTCCTAGAGGAGGACAAGACGCTTAAGCCCAGATGTGGCAGAGCTCACCTCTTTCATCGAATCTTATCCGCGTGCACGGCACATCCGGAAGCAAAATGTCACAGCTGTACAACCCTCCCGTCCTATTGGCTAGCTGCGTCCGGAAAGCTCTCTGTCGAGGTGCCCCCACCAGCAATCTGTGAAGAGAGGAACGGCAGAACAGTCTTTGAGGAAGAATTAATAATGATCTTTTATAATAATATTTTAGGAAGAATTAATGGTTTCACAGAAGAACACCCACCCACCCCGGAAAAGTTTCCAGCATTTGCAAAGAGAAATCTGATTTCCCAGAAAACGTGGTGAAGAAAATAGACACCTTTCCTTATCTCTCTGTTTCAATAAGCAGTTATTTCCCATTAATGTATAAAGCGATCAGTTAGCGGCAGCACTGGCAGAGACTCTGTCGCCTATGGCAGCTCTTCTTCGGAGAGCAGGATTGCTTCCCCCTTTGCAGCCCACCTCATGGGCAGTGTTCCCTCTAAGCTGAGTTAGTGTGAGCTAGCTCACAGTTCTTTAGCCTCCAGCTCACACTTTTGTCTTAGCTCAGGAAGGATGGCTCCAGCGCAAACTAATTTATGCAGTAGCCAAATCACTCACTCACCGCTTTAATGCCAGTAGCTCACAAAGCAGACTTTTTGCTCACAAGACTCCACAGCTTAGAGGGAGCATTGCTCATCGGTACCCTTAGATAGGAAGCAGATGGTCTACACCTAAGCCTGACCATAGTAGCAGCCTGTTTAATAACATCCTTCCCACTGCTTTGATAGGAAGATATCTAGGGACCTGTCATCAGGCATGCCCTGACCTGGATGGACCAGGCTAGCTCGATCTTTCAAATCTTGGAAGCTTTAGCAGGATCAGTCATGGCACTTGGACGGGAGACCATCACGGAAGTCCACAGTTGCTATGTGGAGGCAGGCAAGGGCAAACCACCTCTGTTTATCTCCAGCCTTGAAAACCCTACAGGGTTGCCAAGTCAGCTGCAACTTGGACACATGAAACTGCCTTATATTGAATCCAATCCTTGGTCCATCAAAGTCAGTATTGTCTATTCAAGACTGGCAGCAGCCCTCCAGGGTCCCAGAGGTCTTTCATAGCTCCTACTGCCTGGTCCTTTCCACTGGAGATGCCGGGGATTGAACCTGGGACCTTCTGCATGCTCTTTCACTGAGCCACAGGCCCCCCCCCCAGCACTTTCCACCAGCATCAGGCATCACCAGCTTGGAACATCCACTACTTTTGAACTGGATGGCGGGTGGGAGGGGACACCAGATTTTTCTACCAAGCAGGGCCACAGAAGGTAATATATTATCATGACCTATTAGGTGTATTTGTTACGTATGTTTTTAGATGCTTTCCAGTTTTAATAAAATGTTCTCAAAGCAACTTACAGCACCGGAAGAATGCATTGCCATTACAGAACATAACTACCCTCGATCCATTCCTCCATTCCAGGTACCACCCACTGTACCTTTTGATCCTTTGCATCCGAACTCGTCAAGCATGCCATCTACTGCCACTGTTTCGACTTTCCACCTCCAACTCCCTTTCAACCCTCTGGCTTCTTCCCTCTGCACTCCACTGCAACCACCCTCACAGAAATCACTTATCTCACTGCCATATCCAAAGGTCTCTACTGTCTCCCTCCTTAACCACTCAGCTACTTCTAATGCAGGACTCCTTTCACATGTTTAAATTTCCATGACACAATCAGCTGTTTCTCTTCCAACCTGTCTAAATCACTCAATTTTTCCACTAGGAGAACATCTTCCTTTCTGTGTCTTTTTGGGGGTCCCCCAGGGATCTGTCCTTTGCCCTCTAGATGACCTCATCAAATCCCATGGCATTTAGTACCACCTATATGCAGGTGACACCCACCTCTACTCTGAACTTTCCTTCTTCATCACTGAATCCCTGTCACATAATTTATCTGGGATGACTTATTGTTCTCTCAAACCCTGGGCTGTCCAGATGGAACTCTTCATCTTTCCTCCCAAACCTTCCTCTCCTCAACAACATGACCACCCACCGAGTAGAACAGACTCAAACCCTTGGCTTTACCTTTGACTCTTCTTACTCCTTTGTCCTATGATTTGTTGCCAAGTCACCTCCCTTCTTTCTTTACAACATTTCAGAACTACGGGCCTTCTTGGCCTCCCTTCTTAAAAAAAAAACCCTGATAATACGCTCTAGTCATCTCACACCTTGACTGCTTTGACCACCTCCTCTTTGTTCTTTCATTGTCACACACCAACATTTTATCTCACTTGTTTTGTTTACTTTTGTTTGTATCCCATTTTTCTCCTCAGTGGGGACCCAAAGAGGCTTCCAACGTTCCCCCTTTCTCAGTTTTCTCTTCAGAACAACCCTATGAGGTAAGTTAAGGCTGAGCGTGTGTGACTGGCCCAAGGTCACCCAGTGAGCCTCCACGGCACAGGGGGGATTTCAGCCTCCCAGTTCCCAGTCCTCTATTATAACCACTACACAGTGTGGTCAAAATCATCCACCTTACCACTATGACCATTGACAGCCCTCCTTAAATCTCTCTGCTGCCGTCTTGTCTGCTCAGTCCAGACCCAGAAAAAACGCTTCATTCTGATACAGTTATCAGCCTCCAGGTGGGACCTGGAGTTTTCCAGAAATTATAACTCATCCTCTGACTACAGGGATCAATGCCCCTGGAGGGAATGGCAGACTCAGAGGGACTTTATGACATCACACCCCTGCCGAACTCCCTCCCCAGTCTCCACCCCCCAAATCTCCAGGAATTTCCCCAGCCAGAGTTGGCAACCCTACTTTCTTGATTTGAAAGCTTCATGGCTCCCCCATGCTTCCCCATCTCCGCTCTTTATATATCCCCATCCATCCTGACCTGTTACCTTTTCTTTTCAATCCCTGCTAAAGTGTTATAAAATGTCTTTCCGTGGCCAGATCAGCACCCACCCTTTTCTTCAATATTAGAGTCGGGGTCTAGCACACAACGGGGAAATGTGCACAAGAATCCAGGAGGAGGAGGAGGAGGAGGAGGAGGAGAGCGTGCTCACTTTATGTGGGTCAGCCGCAAAGAGCCGCTAGGTTAAGGCTGGCTTGGCTCACTATCACAGCACAATCCTTCATCCAAAAGAGTTTAATTTTACAAAACTGGCCTGCAATGTTCTATCAATCTCTTTTCTGCCTTAATAACAACAACAAAAAAGAGCCTAAAGTCAAATTTTCAAAGTGCCACAAATACCAGGCCACATTTACTTTGAATTATTATTACTGAAGGAGAAGTGCACGATTTGAGGGCAGGAAAGGCAACTCTCACCCTGATCTGGATTGTCCAGGCTAGCCTGTTCCCGTCAGATCTCCGAAACTAAGCAGGGTCAACATCGGTCAGTATTTGGATGGGAGACCACCAAAGAATACCAGAGTTGTGACGTGGAGGCAGGCAATGCCAAACCCCCTCTGAACATCTTCTTGCCTTGAAAACCCCATGGGGTCACTATAAGTCAGCTGCAAATTGACCGGGGGGAGGGAGAGAGAACTGTCACTAATACTGCCTTTGTTTATTAATTATGCTTTCTGAATTATTTATGGAATGTATGGGTGGTGTCCGAAATATTTAAGCACAGTTGCTACAAAGAACATGATCACTGACAACTCTGGTTTACAGAAATACTGCCAAGTAATTTTACCCTCAGGGCTCCACTGCCTTCAGCATCCCATTACAAACAAGCAAAGTATCACCAGAAAACATACCACATAAAATGAGTCCAGCAGCACCTTCCAGATTACCAGAATTTATTCCACCATAAATTTTCTGAGAGTCAGCACTAACGTCATCAGATGTTTCAAAGTACCCAGACCAGATATATTCTGTTCATTTTCAAAGTTCACAGAAGCTCATTGGCTACTAACATTAACACTGCAAAGGATCATTAATATAGATCGCGTTGGAGAAAGAATATGCTAGATTGTAGCACCTAGTCCCCGCAGGTGGAGCTTTGGAAGCTTTTAATTCCAGGCCTTTGGCCTACTGCCAATATAACTCAAGTTTGCCTTTAAATGTTGGGTTGGATCTCAACAACCCTGTGAGACAGGCTGAGAGAAAGTGGCTGGCCCAAAATCTCCCAGCAAGCTTCCTGGCCGTGTGGATTCAAACCCTGGTGCTCGTGGGTTGGATCTGCCAGAACAGTTCATAGAAGGCATTCATGAAGTAGATCTTTCCTCAGTCTGGGGCAAGTGATGCTCTGTATTCTTGGTGCCTGGGGGGGGGGGGGGGGGGCAACAGGGGGGACTGTCCTGGCCCCACTGATGGACCTCCTGATGGCACCTGGTATTTTTGGCCAGTGTGACAGTGTTGGACTGGATGGGCCATTGGCCTGATCCAACATTGACTTCTCTTATGTTCTTATCCCTTTTGTCATACAGAACATTTAGCCTCTTGGAAGGAAGGAAGGATCAAAATGGGATAGAGATTATGGGAGAGGTCAAAAACCAGATGGCATGCTCCCACTGTTCGAGTCTCAACCCCTATTCTCACAAGTGAGAAAATCTCCACAGAACTTTCTCATGGTTTACTGCTGTGTCAGTTCACATATCTAACCCAAGAGTCAAACCCAACCCAGGATCTGGAACTGTAGTCAAAACAGATACTTATGCCACCTTGGCAACCAACTTGGTGCAGAGTAGGGGGTACACATCTGAAGCAATCCCAAATTTGCAGAAAAAATCTGAAATCTGAGGGAAATTATACATCATGGAATCAAAATGCCACAAAACACAGAAACAATATCTGTAGCTTTAAGAATGCCCACTGGACTCTGTGGCTGTTGGGGGTTGCTTAGCAACCACAGCACTATTGCCAAGCATTCCAAGCCTTGATTACTGGAAAGCAAAGCAGTGAGAGGGAGAGCAGGAGTAGACTGGTAGGCCGAAACAGCCCAGGAGAGCCCCCCCCCCATCATCGTGCTCCCTGATTGGAGGAGTACTTGCCAATGACAGGCCCAGTAGCAACTACTGGAAACTCACTATGGATATAATTTAGCCTGCCTTGGCAGTAGTGGCCTTTAGGCCTGGCCCGTTGACAGCAGCAGCCACTGCACAACTGGGACCAGCCATGAGGTGGCCACTACACAACACAGCCAGACTTTTC